TAGCTCTGTGGCCTTGGGTAAATTACTCTCCCCTCTGAGTCTCATTTCCCCATCCATAAAATGGGGAGACATGCTGTAAGGTCCCTGTAGGTCTGAACTTTTGTGATGGAGAGGTGATATGGAACACAGGTAAGGACCATAGACCTGGGATCCATAAAACAGGGAGAACAATACCTGTCCTGCCAACATCACAGGAATCTTGTCTGAACCTGATGAAATGACATATTAAAAAATACTTGCCTATCTATGAGTCAGTCTGGGAATGTTAGCTATAACAAATAACTCCCAAATTTGTTGTCTAAACACAAATGCTTGTTTCTCACTTTCATCACAGTCCAATCAGGGTCCAAGCAATCACTTCGGGACTAAGGCTTTTTCCTTTTTGTGGCACCATTATCTTCAATATGTCTCCTCCAAGGTCCCCAGGGAATGGGATGAGACCCTGAATGATAGAACAGAGGATTTTTGACTGGGCCTGGAAGCAGCATGCATCACTTCCACCCACATTCCACTGGCCAGAACTCAATCAAGTGGCTCCTGCCTGACTGCAAGAGAGTCTAGGAAACGTAGTTTTTCCTCCTACCTAAGGAATTGGTTTCATAAACATGTAGCATTTTCTTGCCACACCAATACAAGACTCTCTGTGTTTATGCTTTTCAAGTGCCATTAAATTTAAGGCATTAATAAATAATAACATTAATACCGAATAGTAATGGCTCATATTTTTGCATGGAGGAAGGGATGATAATAATGAATGTCATTTATTTATTGTCTGTTCTGAGTCAAGTATGATGGTAGACATGTATATCATATATGAACAACTTGAGATGCTTGAGACATAAGAAATATCCCATTTCTTTCTTTCTTTTAATCAAATCAAACCCAACTTCAAGCTCTCATCCTCCAAGATCAGTACAAATTCCAATATCATTCATTTGGGCTGCCTCCTCCTTCCTTGGGACCTTGTGAGAAGCCCAGGGCTTACAAAGTCTGCTCAGTGAAGAAGGATGACACTGTGGCTGTAGCCTCCAGAGCTTCTTGGCCAGGCTTACATAGTCCAGAGAGAATGGGAAACTCCTTTTGGGGCATTCTTGCCCTGCAGAGAAGGTGGTCCAAGAAACATTTGCTGTGGCTTTCCAGGATATGGAGTTGAGTGCAATCTTAGTTTCCTAGAGCTGCTATAACAGACATACTCCAAGTGCGTGGCTCTAAAGAAGAGGAATGTATTTTCTCACTAGCTGGAGGGGAAGGTACCTCTCTGTCAGCTCTGGGGGCTGCCGAAGATCCTTGTTTCAGCTTCTGTAACCCCAAAGTTCTCCAGTTCCTTGGCGATCTTCATTTGGTGTCTTTATTTCCCCATTTGAGGTTGCTTGTCTCTATGTCTATGCTGCTCCTTATAAGTCAGAAGTGACTAGGTTTAGGACACACCCTATACTTACATAATATAATTTACACAAAAAAGAAAATCCTCTTTCCAAATAGGATTATATCATATACAGGTATTTGGGGGCACAATTCAATCCATAACTAGCGCTTAGCTGCCTCACCTGAGATCTATGCCACTACGGTAAGCTGTGTCCCAGGCAGCCCTGGTCTTCATGATTCCCTGGAACTGCACCGTCTTTGTGCCTCCATAGTCTAGGGCTTGCACCACTCTCCTCTTTAAGCATCAGCTCTCGTTTCCCCCTTTTGAACAATCCAGCTCTTTGTCTTAATCAGCTAGACCAACAATGTCAAATTCAAGTGCTTCCAAGGACCAGGTAGATTATGTAAATGAGCAAAACAAGAAGAGTTAGAAACACTGAGAAGTAGAGAAGATGTGCCCCATCTCAAAGGGGCAGCTGCTCCCCAGCTGCTATTGATTGTCACATGTGAGAAGAATGCAGGCCCGGTGTTGACAGATTCTCAGATTTCCAAGAGATGCCAGAAACCCAAGTTTTATGCAAAATATCCTGATTTTCAAATGTTGGCAGCTAATTTAATTTTTTTCAAGACATGATACAAGCCCAAACAAAACATGTCTGTAAGCCAGATGTGGACCACAAGTTTGTTCCGGCTGTCCAGACTTTTGAAAACAAAGCTTGTTTGGGGTTGTCTCCTGGGGCTACTGGCAACTTCTCTATTTTTGTCTTAATCATAAAAACTTAACCCCCTTTGCAAAGCAGAGGAACCCAGAATACAAAGCCTTGGCTGTCCTTCCAGTAAACAGGAAGGGGAAGAATCATAGTTTTAAGTCTTTCCTTGAGTCCACACGGGAGGAAAGGAAGGATGGAGAAGAAAAGGAGGGGAGAAGGGAGGGAGGAAACAAAGAGTAAGGGATTGAGAAATCGATAGAAGGAGGGAGGAGAGGAAGAGAGAGAGATAGGGAGGGAAGGATGGAGGAAGAGAAGAGGGGAGGGAGGAAGGGGAGAGGGGAGGGAGGAAAGAAAGAGGAAGACAAAGAATGGAGGAAGAAAAGAGGGTGGGGAGGAAGGAAGGAACAAGGGGTGGAGGGAAAAAGAAGAGGGGAGAGAGAAAAAAGAGGAGGGGAGGAAGGGAGAGAAGGAAAGAAGAAGGCCAGGTGGGAGGAAGAAAAGGAAAGAAGATATGAACAAATTGATTTTAAGCAATTCACCCTCCATCAGCTCATTCAATCTTCCTACAAGGTGGAGATAGGTAGACAGAAGGACAGGCTGACCAGACTTCATGCCAGGCGGTTATTTTCTTGCCTGTGTGGGAAGATGCAGCACTGTCCAGAAGAGTGGCCAGGTGGGCAGATGTGGGCTGTAACATGCGTCTACCTTCAGCCTGGAGAAGAGCCAGGGTCAAGGTCAATGTGGTCCAGGGGGATAAGCAAGAGTCAGACAGAAAGGGTATTGGGGTTCAGAGATGCCAGTGGCCCCAGAAAACTGCATGGGCTCATCTCAAACCCACTCAGGGGCCAGTTCACGAAAACCAGGGCATGGGATACCTTGGCCTGAAGAAATGTTGACCTCTGGACTGCAAACTGCTGGTTTTTATTTGTAATCTCTATCATATCCACTTCCAACAGAATCTGAGGCAATTAAGATATATGTTAATAGAACATACAGCAGGGGTGCAGAAGAGGAACAAAGAAGAGAAGAGGTCCCTGCCTTTCGAGATGAGCTGATCTCAAGAGAAGAGGTTGGGCCCCGATTTGACTGAGTTTCCTGACAGCTAAGGCAAAAGAGGAACCCCTGAGCCATGTGGTTTTTATTGTCTAACAACCAAATAACACACACTTGTGAAGACAAACTCTTGATTGGAACGCACTGAAAAGAGGAATTTATTGCATGGGGTATGTTTTCCATACATCCATGTTAGTCTGGATCTTCCAAGAAGCAGACACCACAATGAGATTAAAGATGCAAAGATGTATTAGGGGAAGCTCCCGTATGACAGTAAATGCAGAGGGAGCTGGTGAAGGCTGGGAGAGCTGTGAGATCTGGAGTGGAGAAGACAGGGAAGAAGGGTTGGGTAGAAGTGTCTCAGGCTGATGAGTAGTCCGAGAAAGGCTCAGCAAGACAGCTGGGGAATGAGAGAAGTCCAAAGTTGGCCATCAGAGAAGTCCCGCATCTCCCAGGGCAGGTCCTGCTTCAAAATCCTGCTGCACTGCAGCATTGGCTGGGATGTGGGGTCTTGGCATAGGAGGATAGGAACCTTGGCCAATAAAATTCCCTGTAGTTGGAAGTCCCACCACCTGTCAGTTTGTTGGACTGTGGTAGCTTGTGTGTTGCTGTGATGCTAGAAACTATGCCACTGGTATTTCAAATACAAGCAGGATCATCCATAGTAGACAGGTTTCAGTGGACTTTTCAGACTACACTAGACTAGGAAGAAAGGCCTGGTGATCCCTTCCCAAAAGCTAGCCAATGAAAACTCCGTGGGTCATAACAGAATATAGTCTGATACACTGCTGAAAGATGAGCCCCTAGGTTAGAAGACACTACAATAGCCACACCAATGGACACAAGGATACTAGCAATCATGATGGTTGTGAGGAACTGGGCAATGTTTTGTTCTGTTGTCCATAGAGTTGCTATGAGTCAGAGCCAACTCTATGGCAACTAACAACAAAGTTAGAGGTCAGCGAGGTGCCCTCTCTGGGTTGTCACACTTTCCCAACTCCAGTCTTTATTCTTGCACCACCTTTACATTTTTGTCATGGTAGAGTACCACCACCAAACCAAACTCACTGCCATCTAGCCAATTCTGACTCATAGCAACCCCCACTGGGTTTCCAAGGCTGTAAATCTTTATGGAAACAAACTGCCTCATCTTTCTTCCATGGAGTGGCTGGTGGGTTTGAACCTCTGACTTTCTGGTTAGCAACCAAATGCCTTAATCATTACACCACCAGAGTGCCTTAGAGTCTTCCTGTCCTGGTATTTATCTGACATTTTTCTTTACGTTGACTTTAAATTAACTCCCTTTTTAAGTGTTAGCTTCATCTTCAGCAATAGCCATGCCATCATAGGTTGAAGAGTCAATTAGATGTTCTTTTTCCTAATATACATTAAAAGAAGTGCTTAACTATTTAAATTTTAAGATCATGAGATGTCACCTAAAATCATCTTATATACCACCAATGGTCTACTGCACTTTGGGAAATGCTGGTTTTACCAAGAACATAGACATGCCAATAAAACCAAACCAGTTGCCAACTCGCTATGACCTTTCAGAAGGAGATGGCCATGACTTTTTCCTGAGGCATCATTGGATGGGCTTGAACCACTTTTGAACCAACAACCTTTCAGGCAGTAGTCCAGCACTTAACAGTTTGTGCCACCCAGAGACTCCTAGAAATGCCAATAGAAAGGCTGTATGCCATCGCTGGCTTGCTAACAATACAATGACTGCCTTGCTGTCAGCTCTAACCCGATTACTGGGGGGTACCTCCTGAGGCTCACAGAAGGTCCCAGAAGTGGGGTGAGGGTAAGGCCAGGTGGGTGAAGCTCCCTGCCCATGTCCTCAAATCCCACCTCTTTCACCCAGATGTGGAGCTGGACCTCCTGAGGAGTGTGCAGGCTGTGCTCCGAGAACTCAGTGCCCAGGCCCCTGCCCTGCAGAGGAACCAAGGTAAGAGCCTGCAGACACATGTCCATCTGTTCCCTCTGCTTCCCCAGCCCAGCCCAGATAACTCTGCCCACACTTTCAGGTAATTGTCCTAGCCTGGAGCTACAGGGTGAAGGGTGTCCAAGCCCCCTTCCTGCTGGAAATGTCTGGGCTTAGGAGATCAGAGATCAGACACCTGCTGCCTGCTCAACTCTCCCAGCCACTGTTGCATGGTGATCTGCCTCTCTCCTTCTTACTCCTTTCCCCAACTCCACTTTCAAACAAGCTCCCCCTCAGCACTGCAGAACTTCCAGAACACTGGCTGAGGAACACTGACCTGCAACCACTGCTGCTCCTGCACGAGCCGTCTCCTTTCCCTTGACCATGCCACACCTACTTAAGGAGTTGGGGCTGCCCCCGCTGGCTTCCCCTTCCCCTCTTTTCTGCTCTGGAAACTCACTGTCCACACAGGCCTGCAGATCCAAATTCACCCATAAGTGAGAATTCAGTTATATGCGCCTGGAGCCAAGCCCCTGGCTGAAGATCAGACATGTGGCTGGTCAGAGGTGCCAGCTGGGGCGCTCAGGCTCAGAGTCCTCCTCAAAGGTGTTTAAGAATCCTCCTCCCACCTGGTGGTGTTGGGCTCCCCTTTCTCTTGGTCTAGGCATGTGGAGATGGTCCTTGCACAAGAAGGTAGAGCGAGATCCCAGGAAGAGCCCAGCTCTGGTCCGCATCCTGCTCAGAGAACTGGAGAAGGTACGTTCTTGGGCTTTGTGGAGGCAGATGGGGATGAGAAAAGAGAGGGGCTGGTTGGGTTGGGGGTCAGCCCCATTAGTGCTATGTCTCCCAAGTGTGGGTCATTTGTGGAATGCCCCTGTGATTTATTTTCCCCATATATGCCTCCCTTCTGTCCCTTTAGGAGCTCTGGTGGCATAGTGCCTAAGGCATTTGACTGCTAACCAGAAGGCTGGTGGTTCAAACCCACCAGCCACCCCTAGGAAGGAAGGTTGGGTGATCTACTTCTGTAGTGATACTGCCTCGGCAACCCAAGGAGGGGTCGCCATGAGTCAGATCCAACTCGACGGCAAAGAGACTTTTGAGTTTCTGTGAGGACAGTATTGGTTCAGTGGTGGAATTCTCACCTTCCATTCCGGGCCAATGCATCTTATGCATAGCCCTCCCCCTTCCATCCTTGGAGGCTTGTGTGTTGCTATGATACTGAACAGGTTTCAGTGGTGTTTCCACACTAAGATGGACTAGGAAGGAAGGCCTGGTGATATACTTCTGAAAATCAGCCAATGAATACTGTGGATCACATCGGTCCCATCCACAGCTGATCATGAGGCTGGTACACGACTGGGCAGTGCTTCGTTGCGTTGTGCATGGGGTCACCAGAGTTCAAGCTGACTCCATGGCAGCTAATAGCCTGTACTCTTACATAAACAGTATTTTCTTTTAATTGACTTGCATTGTTTGATTTGAATTAACATATTTCAAAAATAAACCTAATAACATGACCATAAATGGAAAACCAATATCACTTGTAAACAGAAGACTCCCATAAACACAAATACATAATGATTAAAACTTTTCATAATTATCTTGTACCACCTAAAAATTTCCATCCTACCACCAATATTCTGTGTGCAACTGTTGGAAACACTGGGTTCAGAGAACTTCTAGGTTGGGGACTTTCTTGTTGCTTTGCTGCTGGCTCCTGCTCTGGGTCAATGTCACGGCCCTCTGCCCACATCCACAGAGCTCCGGGAGCCCATGTCCGCCTCCACACCCCCACTCTCACAGGAAGGATCCCCAACTGTGCTTCTTCCCCACTTCTACCCTTCATCTGGCCAGGGGAGACTGTGTCCTTCTTTTTCACTCCCCTTAGAGTCTCTGGGTGGGAAAAATGGTTTGCTCAGCTACTAACTAAAAGGTTAGTGATGGTCACTGTGAGTCAGAGTTGACTCCACGGCAACTGGCTTACTAGTGGCGTGCTGAAATGCTGCCTCCCACTGCCCTCTCCTGCACCCTCCAGCTCAAACAGCCTCCTGCTATGATGTAGCAAGTCCACAGCCCATGAATGTGACATCATCTCCTGTCTTCCAGGCAGAAACTGAGGACCTTCGGCACGTCATCATTCCGTTGCTGCATACGCTAATGTACGTGCTTACAAAGGTGAGCTGGGACTGCGGTGAAGGTAGCAGTGGGGACTCAGGTGGTGCCCCATAGTGGGCATCCAGTCCCTGCTGGTGTGAGTAAAAAACCTCATGGATCCCCTGCCCCAAACTGGTTTCTGTCCGCTGTTGTTAGGTGCCGTCCAGTCAGTTTCAGCTCACAGTGACCCTATGTACAACAGAATGACTCACTGCCCAGTTTGTGCTGTGTTTTGTTTCGTTGCCAATGCCTTCACTGCAGCTTGAACTTCTTCCTTCAATACCATTGGTTTTTGATCATATGCTGCCTCCTGAAATGGCTGAACATTGATCAATTATTTTTGGTACAGTGACTCTGTATATTCCTTCCATCTTCTTTTGATGCTTTCTCTGCATCATTCACTATTTTGCCCAACTCTTGTTAGGTGCTATTGAGTCAGCTCTGACTCATAGTGATCCTGTGTACAACAGAATGAAACACTGCCTGGTCCTGCCCCATGCTCACAGTCCTTTCAACGCTAGAGTCCATCATTGCAGCCATTGTCAATCCATCTCATTGAGGGTCTTCCCTTTTGTCACTGACCCTCTACTTTCCCAAGCATGACATTCTTCTCCAGGGAATAACGGCTCCTTCTAACAACATGACCAAAGTGGGTGAGATGAAGTTTGGCCATTCTCACTTCCAAGGTGCATTCTGACCGCACTTCTTCCAAGACGATTTGTTCCTTCTTCTGATAGTCCATGGTATTTTCAGTATTCTTCACCAGCACCACAATTCAAAGGCATCAACTCTTCTTAGGTCTTCCTTATTCTTTGTCCAGCTTTCACATGCATGTGAAGTGACTGAAAAAATTATGGCTTGGGTTAGGAGCACCTTCATCTTCAAAGTGACATCTTTGCTTCTTAATACTTTAAAGAGGTCTTTTGCAGCAGATTTGCCCAGTGCAATACGATGTCTGATTTTATGACTGCTGCTTCCATGGGGGCTGATTGTGGATTCAAGTAAAATGAAATTCCTGACAACGTCAATCTTTTCTGCATTTATTGTGATGTTGCCTATTGGTGCCGTTGTGAGGATTTTTTTTTCCATCCTGTTGAGGTGTAACCCATACATTACATCTTCATTAACAAGTGCTTCAAGTCATCTTCACTTTCAACAAGTAAGTTTGTTTCATCTGCATATCACAGGTTGTTAATGAGTTTTGCTCCAATCCTGATGCCATGCTCTTCTTCACATAATCCAGCTTTTCAGGTTATTTGCTCAGCATACAGACTGAATAAGTGTGGTGACAAGATACAATGCTGACACACAGCCTTCCTGATTTTAAACCATGCAGTATTCTCTTGTTCTGTTTGAATGATCTATATACAAGTTCCTCATGGGCACAACTAAGTATTCTGGATCTCCCATTCTTCATAATCCATAATTTGTTATGATCCATAATCTGTTATGATCCACTAGCTAAACCCTAATACAATAAGAGGCCAAAGTGCAGAGGCAATGGGGAAAGTTGAAGCAGTGTGGAGAGCAAGTGCGTGGAGGGCCTCCAATGCCAGGATGAGGTCTTGGGTTGATCATATGTTCAACGAGAGCTAACACTGATCCTTATGCAGAGAAAGGGCATGATTGACAAAAAATGTCTTGGAAAAGTAGTAGAGAATTACATGTCTTTGCAGGGGTGAGAATGGATGGAGAGGAAGACAAGAGGCAGGAAGAGCAATTCTGTAGGAGCTGGGGTGTCTGGCACAGGGCTTGGCTCTGAAAAATTTAGAAAGCAAAATGAGGAAAAGGAGAAAGGAAGTCTTTGAGGGTACTGGGGAATATCTCATGTCCATAGGATGCAAGGAGGAGCCAAGGATACTCTTGAGAAGTAACTCCAAGATTACCTCAAGGCTACTCCAAGTTTACTCTTTGGAAGTAAGTCCAAGTAGCCTGGAGAACTGTAGATTTGTGTGGACCTGACCAAGCAGATAGATGGGAAGGGAGTTGGTTTGTCAGCAGACATGATAAGATGGATTCCCATCTTGGTAAGTGTTTCAGTTATTAAGTGCTGCTATAACAGAAATACCACAAGTGGGTTGTTGTTGTTGTTGTTAAGTGCCGTCGAGTCGTTTCCGATTCATAGTGACCCCATGCACAGCAGAACGAAACACTGCCCGATCCTGCGCCAGTCCCACAATCCCTGCTATACTTGAGCCCATCATCGCAGCCACCGTATCAATCCATCTCCTTGAAGGCCTTCCCCTCTTTCGTCGACCCTCCACCCTACCAAGCATGACATCCTTCTCCAGGGAATGGTCCTTTCTGACAACATGACCAAAATAGGTGAGACGAAGTCTGGCCATTCTTGCTTCCAAGGAGCATTCTGGCTGCACTTCCTCCAGGACAGATCTGTTAGTTCTTTTAGCAGTCCATGGTACTTTCAGTCACTAGTGCTCAGACGGCTCCCTTGTTACCCTCCCGAGAGGAACCGGGTCTCTGGGAGCAAGGTAAGCACGGGCGGGCTGGTGCTTACTCACTGATCTGAACTGAACACTTTCCCTTGTTACCCTCACGAGAGGGATCGGGTCTCCGGCAGCAAGGTAAGCACGGGCGTAGCACAGAGTAGCAGGCCGGAAGAGCAAGGGAAAGAGGTAAAACCCAGGGAGCCAAGAGAAGAGCAATCAGCCGAAGGGATTAGGTGAGGAGGGGAAACTCAGGGACACGCAAAGAAGCAGGCCAGAAGAGCAGGAGAAAGGGGATTAAAAGACAGGAAGCCAGACAGAGGAACAGTCAGCCACAGGGACCCAGGTGGGGGGGATACGAGAGGTCTCCAACAGCAGGACAAACTTGTCTGTCGGTTTGTCCTACTGTGGTGACATGTAGACGTGAGTTTTGAGGCTGAGCCTCTGGTGTTAAAACCCAGCGAGATGCACCTGGTGCATAGTTAACAGCCCAGTTTATAGACTGAGACAGACTAGGAAGAAGGAAGAGGCCATCCACTTCTGAAAGAATTGGCCAGGGAAAACCTTATGAATAGCAAAGAAACACAAGTGGGTAGCTTCGACAAACAGATTTTTATTTTCTCACACCTTAGGAGGCTAGAAGTCCAAATTCAGGGCACCAGCTCTAGGGAAAGGCTTTCTCTCTGTGTCATCTCTGGAGGAAGGTCCTTGTGTCTTTGAGCTTCTGCTCCTGGCTGATCTTCATGTGGCTTGAAATCTCTCTTTCCCCATCTCTATTTCTTAGCTTGTTTGTTTAATTTCTATTATATCTCAAGAGAGATTAATTTAAGACACACTCTACACTAGTTCTGTCTTATTAACATTTAAAAAAAAAAAAGACAACCCGTTCAGAGCCAGAATGGTCAGCAATGGTAGCAGCCAGGCACCATCTAGTTCTTCTGGTCACTGGGTCATGGAGGCTGGGGTTCATGTGCTCCGTAAGTCCTTTGGACTAATTCTTTCCTTGCATCTTTGAATTCCTTCACTTTTCCTTGCTCTGCATGAGGAGAGACCAATAGCTGCACCATAGATTGCCACTCACAAGCTTTTAAGATCCTAGTTCCTACTCACCAAAATAGGATATAGAAGATTGTCATTGTGGACTATGTTATGTCAATTAACCTCAGTGTCCCCTGTGACTATGGTCCTGAGCCCCTGTGCCCAGTAACTCATTCCCTCAAGGGTTTGGTTATGACTAAGAAGTTTTTAAACTTTGTCCCCTGTGTACTCATCTACATCCATGGATATATTTGTAGCATATACAAATACATAAGTAGAGATATCCTCTGTCAGACCTATATATATTTGTGGGTGTAGCCCCATTTGCCTTCCCAACCCTGTTCAGCTTGAATGTCTATCCATGTAGCCCCTTGTAGATTATTGTTATTACTGATATTGCAGGATTGTGTAGGTAATAGTTCTTACCTTTGTTGCCTTTAACTCTTGGGCTTCTCCCTGTTTCTCCCACTGCCCTGATCATTTTGTGTTGACCTCTCCCTTCTTGTATATTGACTTTCCCTTCAGCCAAGTTAATACCTGTCTACCTTCTAGTTAGTGATTTACACTCCATTTCCCTTCTACCTCTGGTAATCCTCAAAGTTATTCTTTCTGTGTGTAACCCTTTCATCTATCTATCTATCTATCTATCTATCTATCTAAACAGTAGTGGTATCATACCTAGATAGAGTGGGGAAAAAAATGTGAAACAAAACTGAAAATTATTTTAAAAGACCAGGCTTAATGGTCTGATGAAGACTGGTGTAACCCCCAAGATTATTGCCCTGAGACACCCTTCAAGCCAGGAACTGAACTCAACACAGTGGCTCACCTTCCAGCAAAACAATAGGCCTATAAGGTGAACAGTGATGCCAGGAGGGTATGCAGTCATTAGAACAATCAAACATAGAAGATCAAGAGGGCAGCATTTGCCAAGGGATAGAGCTAGGAAGGCAGGAAGGGATGGGAAGGAAAGGTGAAGGAAGGGAAATGGTAGGTGCAAAGAGGAAGTGGGAGGAGTGCTGTTGCATCATTGGGATTCCAGTGAATGTCACAAAACAGAATGTGTGTGGATTGCTCAATGGAAAACCAATGTGCTTGGTAAACTTTCAATCAAATCACAATTTTAAAAAAAGAAAAAAATGACAACCCATTGTCATATGAGATTATAACCACAGAAATAGAGGTTAGGGTTGACAACATATATTTTGGGGCTATCACTCATCTGAAAGTTTGTCATACTCTGGTGACTTATGTGTTGCTGTGAGGCTGGAAGGTATGCCACCTGTATTTCAAATACCAGCAGGGTCACCCATGGTGAGAGGGTGTCAGCAGAGCTTCCAGATTGGGACAAACTAGGGAGGAGGACTTGGAGATCTGCTTCTGAAAAAATTAGCCAGGGAAAGCATTATGAATAGCAGCTGAACTCCATCTGATATAGTGCCAGAAGATGAGTCCCTCAGGTTGGAAGACACCCAAAATACTACTGGGGAAGAGCTGCTTCCTCAAAGTAGAGGTGGCCTTGATTGGATTCAGTAAGGC